TGTGTGTGTGTGTGCGTGTGGGCGTGTGTGTGTGTGTGTGTGTGTGTGTGCGTGCGGGCGTGTGGGTGTGTGTGTGTGTGTGTCTGTCTTTGCGGCTTAACGGGCCCTAAACCTTAGACCGTCCGTGCAGATGGTGCCCCCGAACATGCCTTCGAGACATGTGCCAGTTCAGTTCCCTGTCATCTTGATTGCCGTTAGGATCCTAGGAAGAAGATAGGTCCCCTTTCACACGCAATTGCACTTGGGGGTTGTGCTGACCAACGTTCCCTTCAAGAAGAAAGGGTTTAGGGTTTTGGGTCCGGACATTAAGAGTGCCACCATCGAGAGCAGCCTTCACATCAGGTTTGTCCATTTGGAAGCCAGAAACACCGAAACCCTAAGATGTTCAAGCCGGCTCTTAGGGTCTTGACCCCTTGCGATGAAGTTTCAAGGGATCAGGTTCAGGGTTGTGCATCTGTCAACCGGCACATCGGGGTATCCGGGTTTACCCCTGCAGCGTTCTTGGTTTCGGGCTGGAGGGGTAAGGAGATATGACAACATGAAGGACAGTGATGACGATAGCAAGTACTTGCTGTGACAATATCTGTAGCTGACCCTTAAAATGCCAAAGCCTCAACACTAAGTCCTAACTACAGACTACGGGTCCTTGCGTCTCTTGTGCTGCCAGGCAGCCGACGCTCCCTGCCGGACAGAGGAAGCACGCCGCTAAGCCGCTCGCGTTGCCTCACGCTTTCTTCTTGAAGGTTCTGGAAGGTTCTATAAGGGCTCTATGAGACGCTCTCGCCAGTTTCTTTCAGGGGTTAGGAGTTTGAGGTTTACAGTTTGGGGGTTTAGGGTGTTGGGGATGCGTTCTTGGGGTTCGAGGTTCAGGCAATGGGAAATTGCTACTACGAATATTGCAATTACTGTTAATGTGGTTATCAAGATTACGGCCAGATAGGATTACTGTAGGAACACCTTTGCCAGCATCACGGCTCCAAAGGTTGTTTGACAAATGCTCCAGTTGTGGTTCCTAGCTTCGGCTTTATGGCCTTTGGGGGAATCAATACCGCTCGGGGAGAAGGTCTACAGGTTAGGGTTTAGGGTTTAGGGTACTGACTATGACCTGTCGAGCTCGGAGCTCTTGACCGCAGGACGGCAAACTCGCAGTGTTTGTAGGATGAAAAAAGGCACCACCTAGTTATCTGGTTCATGTTCCGGAATCGACGAAGGCACGCGAAATGTATATTTGTATACAGCTGCTTCAACATATATGCATGCATGCCTACCTCCTGTAAGAAACTAGATTAGCTAAATATAACATACATGCATAATATAGCTTAATATAGCTTATTATATATACTCTCGGAGGCCCCCCTTATCTGTAGATGGGTTTGGCCATGGATTAAAAGTCGCAGCTGTCGGCATCGTAAGTTCTTTTAGGGAGCCGTGGCCCCCGAGGACGGCGTGCTTTTAACCACCTGAAACCACTTGGCCCAAAGCCCAGCGCTTGAGATCTTGAACTACGGCTTAGGGCTTAGGTTTAGGGCATATAGGGTATAGGGTTCAGGGTTCAGGGTATAGGGTTTAGGGTTCAGGCTATAGCGTTTAGGGTTTAGGGCATAATCACTAAGGCCTCAACTCTGCAACCCGAAACTCCCAACCCACAATGCTAAAGCTGAGCCACTGAAGGATCCCAGAGCGCAGGACTCGCATTCTGTCATTCCAAGCGCCTCGGCATCTGTGTGCACTGTACTAAGCGGTTGTTGTGTTGTTTATAAGGGATTCAAAGTTAGCAGCTTGGACAGTAAGTAGTCTGAATCAAAGGCCACAGAATGTGGGACTCCTATGCCGTCAGCATGCCGACGGGGCTTCTTGGGTGTTGGCGTCACCTGGGATTATCGATGCAGAAATGCTTCTTCTTTCAAGTACAAACCTTGCTGAGATCTCGGTTGGAAGCCTAGGCAACAGCAGCTCGGACTTGTTTTCGCGAAGCGCCTGAACGCTGGCTACTCATTTGCTTCAGCACATGAAGCCGAGAACAATCAATCGCAGGAAAATCATCAAGCTTCGCAGCTTGTGTGTGTGTGTGTTTTGTTTAAAGGCTTTTGGCCGTTGAGGCTGTCCGTTGCGATCTAGAAGAACCACGGTAGCGTAGTATAGGCACCTTGACGATTAGAACAGGGTTCGGGTGGTATGGTACAGATTACATAGGGACGTCAAGTTGGACATGATTGCTAGTTCTTCAGACCCCCATAGCAAACCCGATCGAATTTGATGAAGACCTTAAGAGGCATAGCAAGCAGGCTGTGAAGAAATACACCATAATGTAGGGGCCTTAATAATTAGAATAGGGTTTCGGGGCCCACTATACTATAAGTACAATAAGGCACCCCCCAAAAGAGCATCAGTAATTATTTAGGCCCCTATATTATGTCAGTATGTACAAGCATCCTAGCTGCAACATTATTGTACTCATCATACACGTCACTCCCCAAGATCATCGAAGGGCCTAAGGGTGTAGGGCATAACACCAGTCAGTCGCACAAGGGAACAGGAGGATTCGGCCAGGAGCTCAAGCCGTCGGAGCTTGCCAAAGTTAGGGGTTTAGGGTTTAGGGCTAAAGTTTAGGGTTTAGGGTTTAGGGGTCCTCCTAGAGTCCGAGAGAGAGCCGGAATAGTAAGGGCTTCCTCGTAAGATCACATTCCGAAAACCCCAACGCCGAAGGCCCTGGCACTTCCCTCAGGACCTCCGTCCTCTAGCCGCGTTCAACAGGACTCGCATCAGAAACTTCGCAAGAGCCGGGTTGTCATCGACCAGTTCCTCCAACTGGGATCCCTGTTTGTCGAGGATCTCGCAGGCGTTTGCTTTCACCATCTCCAGGCACCGGGCCTCTAAGATGCCCCCGCTTCCGAGAACCTTGCCCAGAAACTTCAGGAGGTTGTCTTGGCAAACTTTCGCCAGGAGTTCGGTTTCCACCTCCTGGACCAGGTCATCTAGGCAAAACTGATCTGCAAGCTTCCGGACGGAAAATGCCAGCTCGTCGTTGCAAGCAGCGTGAAAGTGCTGCGACATGAAATGGCAAAGGACCTCGGCTGATGGTCAACCTTGCATCTGGTTCCTGAGCAAAGTTAGGTCTGCGTGTCGACAAGCACATGAAACAGCTCTGAAGCCAAGGAACTGCCTGCATGCTCGCTGCATCAGCTTGTTCGTTGACTCGCAAGTCGATGACATTGGTGCGACCCTCGACCCATGTTTCTGATGACAGCATGCTCGCGAAATGCTTCGACCGCTCTACCACTAGCCGCTTGTCAAAATGAAGTTTCGATCCGTCGGCTAAAAGGAACGTGACGAACTCTGGCTCCTTGGAAAAAAGCTCCGCTGGCACATCTCGGCACGGGAAGTTGCCTGGCAGGAAGGCCGCCTCGCCAAGAATGCGAAGCTTGCCAGCACTGACCCACTTCTTCTGTAGGAGTGTGTAATGAGGAACCAACTTCGGCCAGCCGTAGTCTACATGAGATTTAGACAGTGGATAAGCGAGCGACGTCGATAGAAATAAGCTTTGCAGTGCGGTCTCGCCCTTGATGATGAATCTCACACGCTGCAACTCCGGAAAGATCCAGTCCTTCCCTTCAAGCGTAGCAGGCGGGCGGACTCTGATAAAGCCGCTCACAAAACCCTGTTCCTCGGGTGACAGCCCGTTTGGAAATACCTCGACTCGGAAATGCCAGCCATGCGGCAAGGCCTTCCAACAGGATGCCACCTTTGTGGCGTTTTCCCACCCCGAACAGGGATTTTCCACGAAGACTTCGACGGAATGCCATATGAACCTCAGTGACAGGAAATCATAAACAAGACCGAAGCCCTGCAATAGTGGGGGGAACCCCCATGACCTCTAAAGCCTGGAAGCCTAAACGACCCCTGTTTCCGGACGTTGAAACCTCCCCTCTTCATGCAGAGACCCGAACTTAACCAGCATCCTCAGGCCTTCGCTCCGCAAGTCGTCCAAACCCGAAGCCCCTAAGCCCCCGAGGAGCTCTGAAGCCGCCAAGGATCGTCGCGCCATCCGTAAGACGCGGGTCTGATTCTGCTGACTCTGACGCTGCCATGGCAGAAGGGCTCTCCCCCAACGAGTTATAAGTTTTCTTTTGGGGGGGGGGGGAGGAGATAGCATGTAACGAAAGGTCTGGCTCACTGGGGGGGGGGAGATAGCATGTAACGAAAGGTGGCTCAGCACCTGCAAGAGCTCGGAATCTTTAAGTAGCCTGCTGCAGAGCTCGTTGGGTTTAGGGTGTGTCAGTGAGGTGACAGTTCAGAACGTGTGAAACATAGCATTCTGGCCAGCAGCCATGCTAGCGTCCGTCGGAGTGGAAATATAACTAGAGCAACCAGGGATGCTAAAGAAAGAGCAAGTTGGACAAAAGATGTTCTTGCAAAACAGGAGCCTCTGCATGTCAAGCTAGGCCCCTTAATAAGTGCGATTATACTGGCTTTGACCGCTACTAATCAAATTCAGATTTCTGCCGGGCATCGAGCCAGTGCTCTGACTCGGCATTCAAAGGAAGCTGCCTGTTACCCTAGACCCTAACAACACTTGAACCCCAAAACCCCTGCGAGCCCCTGCAGCAAGCTCTAGCCCAAAACCTTAGACTGTCATCTGTCACTGAAGTTTGGACTTGAACAGTTTATCCTCAACTGTCAATGTATATAAGACCTTCATGCAGACAGGGCTTCTTCGTCTTAGTACGTCTGGAACGAAGGACGCATGATTCAGAAGTCCTGGGGGTGATAGCCGTGCGCTCCAAGTAAGCCCTAAAGAGCTGCACCCGAAGCCCGAATCCCACAACCCTGAAGTCCAGGTTGCGAGGTTGGGGCTTTGGCGGGCCCTAAACCCTGAAACCTTAAACCCTAAACCCTGAAACCCTAAACCCTAAAACCCCAAAACCTTAAACCCCCAAACCCTAGATGCCACCTTCAACCTTGAACTCGAGGCCCAGAGTCGAAGCACTAGACCTTGGGTGTACTGCCCCCATACAGCAACAGTCGATAATAGGGTTTAGGGTGCAGGGTTTAGGGTGTAAGGTTTAGGGTTTAGGGTGTTTGGTTCGGGTTTAGGGTTTAGGGTGGAGGGTTTAGGGCTATGAAGGGCCTGGTATATCCATGTTATGAATATTACTCAACTGTTGCTGAGTGGGAGCAGTGTCCAACCTAGACCCAACCAGGCTTGCGCAGTCCGCCGCCGGACGAAACCTTCAATCCTGGGCCTGTTACCCTACCCATAGGCCCCTAGGTAGTTCCTTTTTGGGATTACCTTATAGGATTCTAAAAAATGAACCATAAAGAGGAACTACTTAGGGGCCTATGGGTAAACCCTAAACTCTCTTTTCAAGGTACCTCTGAAAGCACCACCAAAAATTCAATCCTCGAAACCCCTAAGGCCAAAACTTGAATCGCACAATGGTTAAGTTCGCAAAAACCGAAGCCTCCCCGACTCTGAAATCGGGCCCGCCCCTGCTTAAATCCATCGCGAAACCCCGGATGCTAATCTCCAGAGCCCCAAAAGAATCCTTAAATCTCGAAACCTAAACCCTAAACCGTAAATTTTAGAACCTAAACCCTAAAACCCTACCCCCTAAACCCTGTAAACCCCAACCCCTAAAACCCTAAACCCTAAAAAGGGAATCCTTGGGTTTTGGGGGTTTCGGCTGGGGGCCGGGGAGTCCCCACAGTCTACACCAGCTCGCTCTCCTTTTTTGCAGCTCCCAGCTGAAAGATGTATAAGATAGGGGCCTTAATAATCAGAATACGGTTTGGGGGTCTGTTATACCATAGTTAAGTAGTGTAGGGCTATGGGGCCCTTGTTGTAGAATTACAGTAAGGAACCTTAAGGAAAAAACATTCGTAACATAGGGGCCTTAATCATGAGAACAAGGTTTTCGGGGTCTATTATACTTTTTCTATAGTAAGGAACCCCCAAAACGGTATAGGTACTTATTAAGGCCCCTACATTAAACTCGTTTGCTCCAGCACATGGAGCCGAGAATGTGCTAAGCGATCGGAGAATCGGAGGAGGCAAGCTTTGCAGCTTTGTCTTTCGGGTGCAGTTATCTAGAGCTCTACGAAGGCTGATGCACTGATCTTTGGAAAAGCCGTTCCGGGTGCCAAAACCTATGAATTTGCTGGAAAGTTCCTGGAAAGCTCAACGGTGAGCAACCTGAAGAAGCTTGCAGGCGGCATAAACAGTAGACTACTGTTGATGGTATATAAATCCTGCATTACCTTTAAGGACCCTAAACCTATAGGGATTATGATATATTCCTCATTATGGGTATGTAGGATTTATATCATCAACCGTAGTAGATGCAAGATCAATCGGGCATCGGAGCTTCCGAAAGCAATGGGGTCCCTACTATAGTTAAGTAACGTAGGGCAATATAGGGGCCTTAATAGTTAGAACAGGGCTTACGGGTATATTATACTATAACTACTATAGTAAGGAACCCCCAGAATAGTATTAGTATAGTTATTTAGGCCACTGTATTATTACAACAGACCCTGAGTGGTAAGAGCGCCTTGTCGCAAGGCTCCTCACGACTTCGCAGCTCTAGCCGCGTTCAGCAGGACTCGCATCAGGAACTTCGTCAGGGCCGGGTTGTCATCGACGATTTCGTCCAAGACGGATCCCTGTTTCTCGAGGAGCTCGCACGCGTTTGCCTTCACCATCTCCAGGCACCGGGCTTCTAAGACGCCCCCGCTGCCGAGGACTTTGCCCAGAAACTGAAGAACGTTGTCCTTGCTAACTCTTGGCAGGAGCTCGGTTTCCACCTCCTGGACCAGGTCATCTAGGCAAAACTGATCTGCAAGCTTCCGGACGGAAAATGCGAGCTCGTCGTTGCAAGCAGCGTGAAAGTGCTGCGACATGAAAAGGCACAGAACCTCGGCAACTCTCCACCACCTTCTTGCCTAAGCACTATTTTGGTCAACAAGCCTGTTGTAAATCGCTTTAGCCAAGGGACTGCCTGCATGCTGGCCACATCCGCCTGCTCGTTGCTCCGCAAGTCGATGACATTGGTGCGACCCTCGACCCATGTTTCTGATGACAGCATGCTCGCGAAATGCTTCGACCGCTCGACCACTAGCCGCTTGTCAAAATGAAGTTTCGATCCGTCGGCTAAAAGGAACGTGACGAATTCTGGCTCCTTGGACAAAAGCTCCGCTGGCACATCTGGGGACGGGAAGTTCACTGACAGGAAGGCTGCCTCGCCTACAATGCGAAGCTTGCCACCAGCGACCCACTTCTTTTGTCGGATCGTGGTATGACTAACCAATGCTCGCCCACCACAGCATACCTGTAGCTCAGATTTGGATGAGTTGGACTTCACAAACCGTTGCGTCGTGCTTGCCAATGTAGCGTTGTCCTTGGTAAGCCATCTCACCTGCTGCAGATCCGGAATGATCGACTCCTTCCCTTGCATTAGGTGGTTGGAAAGACAAAACATGGCGCTGACAAACCCCTCGTCCTCTGGACCAGAGCCGTTTGGCCATATTACAAGTTGGAAGCGCCATCCGTGCGGCAAGGCCCTCCACTTGGATATCACCTTGGTGCCGTTTCTCCAACCCAAAGAGGGGTCTTCCACGAAGACTTCGGCGGAATGCCATGTCAACCTCAGTGCCAGGAATAGGGAAGACCACAGCCAGAAATAGTGGGAACCCTGCTACGTAAACCCTGGAAGTCAAAACGAGCGTCTTTCCGGACTTTGCACCTTTGTTTTTGCCAAAACCCGCAGAACTACCATGCTACGAGTAACAGCTCAGACAGCTAAGACGAGCTGTCTATCCTTGAGTGTTAGCTCCGCAAGTCGTTCCTTCCGAAACTCCTAAGCCCGAAGAGCTCTAAACCCGCCAAGGATCGTGGCACCGTCAGTAAGACGTGGGTCTGATTCTGCCGCTTCAGGCACCGATGGCACGGCCATGGCACAAGGAATGTCCCCCAGGGGGTTAGGATAATTTAATACGAGTACAGCTGTCTGCTGGTACTGTGCGCGTTTCGGTTGTGGGAGTATTTTGTTTACCATTCAAGCCCCTGCAGCAAAAAATGACAAACCCAACCTGAGACACCGTGGAAGAGTCGGAGAAACACCCCCGACAAGTCTGCACCTGAATGTTCGGGTTGCTTGGGGTTTAGAGCTCAAGGCGCGAAAAGACTCAAGCCAGCCGCACAGGAAGACGGTGAGGAAATATCATCCATGCAAGCCGCAGAGACAGGAGCTCGGGCTCCTCGAGTAGTCTGCTAGAGAGTCAGCCAAGCGGCGGCGAAGCGACCCGTCGGACAGTCCCCGCATCCGAGCTCGTTGGACCTCATGAGAGGATTATGGCTTTAGTATTTGGGGATTTTCGGGCTTCAGGGTTAGGGTTTAGGGGGTTTGGGGATTTGGGCAACAGGGCCGTAGGGCTTTGCCCATGGTAGGTTTAGGCTCTGCGGCTCAGGAATCCTCAAGACCTGGAATGCAAAAGCAAGCTCTCATAACCTACAAACATGGGCCGCAACCGGAACTTGCTGTGCTGGGCCCCCACATCTGACCTGACACCCTCTCTACAATACTGCTGAACCGAGAAATCAAGGCCCTCGAAACTAGAGACACGCGGTGGGGTTCAGGGTTACAACAGACGCACCGGCCGTAACAGTGCCAGCAAGTTTCGGCACACTACGCACGAAAGTCGTCCCGCGCAAAAACCCCAAAACCCCCAAAACCCTCATCCTTACAGTCCCTGAAGCCCCAAATCCTGAATTCGAAGCGGTCGCCGAATTCTGCCAGGGATCCAGGTGCTCCCGGCAGGGCACTGGCTACTGCGATCCTGAAGAAGTTGTGGGTCTCAGAATGCTCTTAAAAAGGCGAACATACTTCAAGGAATGTAGGGCTCCGGGATTTAAGATCTGAAAGAGTTGCCCGTCCGGGGTCCACGATCTGAAGGAGTTCGATTTAGGGCCTGTCGAGCTTAGGGGCTTAACCCCATGTCCAATCCCAAAAGCGCATCTGATGCACCTGGCACTAGGCTGCCAACACAAAGGTTCAATCAACTTCAGGATCCCAACATACCCTAAACCAAAACACTAAACCACACTCCAGAAAGCAGGATCCTAGTACAAGGATCCGCCCCCCACGAGACTTAGCTACATAAGAAGCCAGAATGGAAACTCTCACAGTTCGTGGTGCCGGATACCCGGAATAGGGTCTTGGGGTAACAAGTGTAGTTGCTTGTAGTATGAGTATACAGGGACTATAGAAGCATGCTTAATTCTAGCTCGTCAAAACCCGTTGTAAGCGTTAGAAAACCAGCTCTCAAAGGTAAACCCAAAGCCGTGGACTCTAACCTGACAATCCTTTCTTCTAAACCCTTGTGCCCCCAAAACCTGAAACTCCTCAGCCCCAGTAACAATCCTTTCACCCCGCATTCCTTTCTGAAGCCCGAAACACAATCTCATCACCGAAAAAACCTAATCCTCAGAAAGCCCCAAAGGCCTACACACTGAAGCCTACACTGGGGCCTGAATAGTTAAGAGTACGGCAGATTATAATGTAGTTGTATACGGGCGATAACAACTATTGATTGCTCAAGCCAAAGGAACACACGTTTAACCTGCAAAACCTATCTAAGACCTACGTTGCCGTGACCCCTACCCCATATATTGAGTAAAGCCCTAGCTGCTCGAGGGATGAAGGCTGTCGACATGTCGCAGGTGCCGCTGCTGCAAGCAACGATCTGACCTTTGGGCTTTTGATTTTTTTTTTTTTTTTTT